AGAAATATAATACCTGTACAGTGGAAACTCAAAACATTGCTGAGAGGAGTTGAAGATCTAAATTAAGGGTCAGATATTGTTTGTTCATAGAGTGGATGACTCAAGCTTATTAATAGGACAATTCTCCCCCAAATTAATTTACATTGATGCAATCTCTATCAAAATTCAAGAAAGCATTTTAACAGAAAGATCACCCTAAAATTCATATGAAAATGCAAAAGACTTAAAACAAAAGTTGAAAGATTGACATTACTTGATTTTGAAGTTTGCCATAATTACAGAGCAATCAAGGCAGTGTTAGATTAGCATAATGGTGGGCATAGAAATTGGTTGAACACAATCAGAGACTAAAGAAACAAACCCTTATATTTATCGTTTACTTTTCACAAAGAACCCAGAACAATTCAGTGAGCAAAGAATACCACCCTGCCCCCTCACCACACACACACACACACACACACACACACAAATAGTGCTGAAATGACTCATAGGCATTGGGGGTTGTACTTGAACCCTTACCTGATTCCACATAAAAAATAGTTCAAAGTTGACTAGCACCCAAAACATAAGAGCTAATCTATACTTCTAAGCTTCTAGAGAAAATAGGAAAGAAGTTTTGTGGTTTGGAAAGTATTGTTCTTTGCCATCTTACCAAAAGTATAAGCCACAAAAGAAAAAAAAAAGGTGGATAAATCAGAGTTTATTAAAAATAAATTCCTTTAGGGTCGGGGATTTAGCTCAGTGGCACCTCACCTGACTCACAAGTGTAAGATCCTGAGTTTAATCCCCAGTACCAATAAACAAACAAACAAATAAATAAATTCCTTTGTATTTCAAAAGATACAATTAAGAAACTGAAAAGACAAGTTATAGACTGGGAGAAAATATTTGCAAAACTTATACTTGATAAGTACTTGTATCTGAAAGGTAAAATAAAGAATTTTTACAACTCAGTAATAAAAAATGAATACCCAATAAATAAAAATAATAAAGATATAAAGAATTTGAATAGACATTTCTTCAAAGAATGTATATAAATGGTGAAGTAGATATGTGAAACAATGTTCAGCACTATCAGCTATCAGAAAAATGAAAATCAAAGCCGCGATGGGGTAATGGACTGCAATGAAAAAGACACAAAATAGCAAGTGTTGGAGAAATGTGGAAAAACTGGATCTCTGACCCACCGTCAGTGGGAATATTGAATGACAGCCAATTTGGAAAACATCTCTTAGAATGTTAATCATAAAGCTATATGTCTCAGAAATCCCTCTTCCAGCTTTCTATCCAAGAAAAATAAATAAAATCATTGAATTATGTCCTTAAGTGGATTATATGGTATGTAAGTCATATTTCTTTGAAGCTGTAAAAGTTATGCAATGTAAATAATGCTGCAGCTTCTCCATTGTAACCAGAAAGTAAATGAAGCCAGTTTAACACATTATTTTGTTTGTAAGCTTGGTTCAGTTAATTCCTGCTACATTTCCTAACAGCAAAGATACTTGCTAGGTATTTTTCATCCCAAATTCCTCCATTGAAATCCTAATTGTCAAAGTGAGGGCATTAGAAGTGGGATCTTTGGAAGGTAACTAGACCATGAAAATGGAGCCCTCATGAATTTGATTAGCACCCTGATTTAAAAAGAGCTTTTTAGTCCTTTTCCATGTGATGATGCAGTGAGATAAAAACATCCAAGTACCAGAAAGTGGCCCTTACTAAACACTGAATATGTCTGCTCCTTGGTCTTGGGATTTCCAGCTTCCAGATCAGTGAGAAACAAATTTGCTACTGTATTTTTAAAGTGGTCTAAATGGACTAAGGCAATACCTTTTCCAGGTATTATTAATAACCTCTGGCTGATGTTTTGATCATTTGTGAACATTCTCAACTATTAAAACGTCCGCTGTTTAATTTTATCACTCATTCCTCAGCCTTGTTAGCCGGCATCCCTCATAAAGAAGAGTTCAAATTCCACTTTGTTTTCTTTGCCTATCACTATGGACACTTCCGTTCTTTTCTATTTAATATGTTGTAATTCATCTCATCACTATTGTATTTTATGTTCATATCTTCCTAAACTTGGCCACCTGGAGTCCTTCTGAACCAGTTCCTTCCTTTGGGATCTGCTCGCCACAGACTTGGTGCAGTTCATTACTTTCCAGCACAGGAAGGTATTCCAGGCTCCCCCTGTCCTTTTCCTGAACCAGTCATCTCTCCATGTATCCCTACTTGCTTTAGGTGGCCAATGGTGATGATTATCAGAAACCACATCTTTTTTAAGCTCTCCCTGTCTCCACTGAGTTGAACCCTAAAGTATTACGAGTCCATGATACATATTTCCAATAACGCTGGTCAGATTAAATCCAGCCTTTTTGAGCTAAGGACATGTGAGCGTCCTGTAATGGATGCAAGGGTAAGCAAGAAGAGGCAAGGGGTGGACCAGAGTTCCAGGTAGCACTGCGTCATTGGGTGCACTTCTAGTCAGTACAGCACCAGATTCATGCTCTCCAACTGTAAAAAGAATTACCTGCCTCCAAAGGGTTCTGGGAAAATTAATTTGCTAATGCCTGTAAAGAGGCCTGAAGATCAAAAGTTCTTTGTATATGCTAGTATTATTAGCTTAAGTGGTCCTCTTGCACCCGATGGAAACTGAGATGGCTCAGTAGCCGTGTCATTGTGAAACCATGCAAGACGCATCATCACATCAGTGCCCGAGCAGCAGACATCTGAGTGGTGACACTGCAAGAATACGCGAGAGGCAGTAAATATGAGTGGCACTTGATTTCTAAAATCCAAGAGTGTATTTAGTTGAAGCAAGGTGGGCTGACTCTCCACCATGCCTATCTGTTCTGTGTGGTGTGTTTCACATGCACCATGTTCTAATTTATTTCTTTACTCCTCTCTATTATTAATTGTAAACTTGCAAAAATCTCCAAGAGAGGGCAGATAAAAGTATGAAAAAGAAATAATCATGTTGAAGAGAAAATGCCATAATGTGGCCTGGCCCAAAGTTAGGCAAGTCGCTTCTCTGGGTCTCTGGCTGCTGGTCCCACTTAGAGATGACAGTGTTGTGGCTCTGGCTTCACATGTTATTGGAGATACACTAAGAACCCCAGTCCACAGCCAGGCCAGGATCTAAAGAACAAGTGAGGAAGAGGGAGGTTGGAATGTGGGAACAATGTGTCTATTCACATGCCTTTCGTTTTCATCTACCTACGTATTCATGAGGAAAGGTAAGGAGACTTGAGGCCACCTAAGGTATTGGTAGGTTATTTTGTGCTTTGTTTTGCTTTTGTCGTGAGACAGGGTCTCACTATGTAGCTCAAGGTGGCCTTGAACTCACTGTGTGCAGCCAGGCTGGCCTCAAACTCATGGCAGTGCTCCTGCTTTAGCCTCCTGAACGCTGAGATAACAGGCGTATCCTACCACATCTGACTGTACTAGCAGATTATTTATAAAAACAGCTGCAATATTTCTACCCTTCTCTATATGCACAGCACTTCTGCCATGAGCTCTGCCACTTCTTCCAGAAAAAAAGGAATGTATTCTTTTCTCATGAATGTGGGTTTGTCCTGAGATTTGTTAAATCAAGAGACATTTTAAGCATGTATCAAGAGTGTGTACGCTTTCCTTTGCTGTAATAAAATACTGAGGATAATCAAATAAGGAAAAAATTAATTGTATCCTTTCACAATGCTATGGGTTAAGTACCATTCTTTCTTCTATTTGACAGATGGGGAAATCAAGTCAGGTAGGGCTTATCCAACTTGCAGCTGCTTTTACATATACTGAGTAGTGCAGCCAAGAATTAGTCTGGGTAGGTTCAACTTTGAGGCCTGTGCCTTAATCCCGATGCAAAGCTAGGTATTATAGCCATTCCTCTGGTGGACTGTGGCATATCCTGATGGCCTTCAAACTCCTGTAGGTAGAAACAGCCACATGCAGTGAAAATGTTTTATTCACTAAAGTCTAACGGTAAAGAAACTACTCATCCTCTTCTCAGAAGGATGTGGGGGTGGAGGGTGTGTTTTCAGAAACACCCAAGAGCCTCAGCATGGATTTTGATACACTCTTCCCTTCTGAGACGTCTCAGATTCATAGGATCCAGACACCCTGTCTGGGAAGTAACAAGGCCAGAACTTGCAGCACCAAATGTGTCTGTGATTTCTGCGCAAGTCACCTGAGAGCAATGAGCTGGCCAGGCCAGGGACAGTCACACGTGTTCCAAATGTAAAAACCAAAGGAGGCCAGACTGCAACGTGACCAGACCTGACAAGAGTACAGATGAAATGCCAAAAGAAATGTCCTCTCCTACCCAGGCAGGTAAACAATCCTCCACCTTCAGAATCCTATCCGGCATCCACATCACGGAGGTAGCAAAGCAAGTGTGGCGCTCACATGTCCAATCTGGATGGTGAGAGTGCTGCTTAGAGAAGCGTCAAGACAGATCCTGATGAAGAATGAAGCATTACACAGGAACAATTATGAAGAGCATCCTCTCACTCTTCCTGGGAATGTCACAAACAGCCTCCCATACAGTGTGAAAAATGAGATTAGAGAAGGGACTTGAACTGGAAATGTGAAGACACTAAAATCAAGCTTATTTGGGTATGATGTCACCATGAGTTGATAGAAGCTAATGACCATGAGGTAGGGGTGTGTGTGTGTGTGTGTGTGTGTGTGTGTGTATCCTCTGCACTATCTCTTATTTTAAAGTAACAATGAAACCCTCACAGAATGAAATTTAAGTTTTTCAAATGACTCCTTTGGCTATGTATTTTAGAACTTTCACCATTAAGGATGTTACTTTAAACACTGAAAATGGAAGATAGAAAGTGAAACAGCGAGGAAGAAGAAAAGAGAGAAGAGATGGATCGGCAAGAACATTTGCTTCCTGTGATAGACGTTGCAGTTGTGTACAGCAGTTACAGGGTGACATTCTAGATTCTCAGCGTGGCTATGACCGTGAAGATGTACATCTAGATCAGTGAGGGACCTACCTGGCAAGAAGTCCAACGAGTCCCGTCAGGATCTGTCAAAATATGGGGGTCCCGGTGAACACTGTGAGAAGCAAATAAAAATATTAGTAGCTGAAAGCTCTTAAGTGCTTGTGTGATACGTGATAAGCAGTGAGTATCTGACAGCTCTCAGAACAAGCTAATGAGGGAAATCTATGTTGACTTTAAGGACAAGGGGAGGAGTCAGAGAATAAGGAACCCCTAGAAGTCGAGAGCAGACACCACTTTCCACCCTGAGCACCTGCTTTCCTAAGGTGTCTGTGCAAAATTGGACTTTTTTTTAAACCTCATCCTCAGTTAACGAGACTTAACTATAATGTCTCCATAAGTATCAGGCCCTGATTCCCTCAAGCCTCCCCTAGAAGAAGTTATTGTCCAGTCCCATTTTGTCCTTGAGCTACATTGTTTCTCATTGAGTTTATTGGTACTTTTTAGGTATACAGTACAGTTACATTCATTATTGGATTCTTGCACCTTTGCATTATGTATCTTGGTTCTTATTTTTCCCCATACCCCTCTCCTCCCTTTACCCCCTCCACTTTTCCCTATTTACAAAGACTTTGCTCCAATTTTTCCCTTTTCTAATTTTTTCTTTTCCCTTTGAGCTACATTTTTAAAGGGCAGGAAATTCAGTAGCCAACTTAGCCCATTGTCTTGAAAGTTGTAGAACTTTTCTTGCATCTTCATATTGAGGAATTTGCATGTTACTTAGGATTTCTGTTTTTTAACTTTTAATCACTTACCTAATATTTTTAATTGATTTAGCTCAGTGGTTCTGGTGCCTGCTTCACAAGCACAAGTACCCAAGTTTGATCCCCGGTACAAAATATCAGTAGCCAACTTAGCCCATTGTCTTGAAAGTTGTAGAACTTTTCTTGCATCTTCATATTGAGGAATTTGCATGTTACTTAGGATTTCTGTTTTTTAACTTTTAATCACTTACCTAATATTTTTAATTGATTTAGCTCAGTGGTTCTGGTGCCTGCTTCACAAGCACAAGTACCCAAGTTTGATCCCCGGTACAAAATATATAACAGTAAAGATATAAATGGTGCCTGGCTTAAATAAAGAATCACAAAATCATACACAGAACTATAAATGTATATTTAGTCCATAATACTATCAACTTGCACTGCCCAATTTAATAATTTCTAGCCAGCTATGACCAGTGATGTAAGCTAAAGTTTAATGTAAAACAATATGCTATATCTTTGGCTAAATATTTAGTGCTAAATGGGCCCCTTTTGTTACTAGAAAGCACAAAAATGGAATGTTCCTATGATGGCAGAAGGTTCTATGGAAATGTTCTTATCTTTATCATGTATTTTCATCAGAAATTATAATTGGTCTTTATTTCCCTTATATTTATCTTTATGTTTCATGTCTGTTTATTCCACTGAATGCAAACTCCATGAAGGTTTTTTTTCCCCTTACTACATATCACACACACAGCAGACACTCAACAAATTTACTGGATAGACAAGTTTAGGAACCATGAACTAATCTGAAAAAGTTGTTAACAGCTTAGTTCTAAATTACTGTGCAAAGAACTTGAGAGAAGAGAATGTCATGAAAGGAGAAGATACATGAAGAATTTGATAGCCCATGGACAAAAAGAAAGTTATCGTGTATGATGAGAACTTAACAGCAAGTAAAGACATGCAATGATCTTCCCTGGAATCTTAGGAAAATACCTTTCTGCTGAAAGAGCTGGAATCTGACCACCCTCACTGATGCAATCAGAAACTGGGAAATTTGTTCCTATGCCAGAAATGTTAGTTTTTGTTATTACTAGAGATTGACTCCAAATTGTGGCTGGCTAAAGGGGACCTGACACCTACCTATCCTTTGCCAGGTACTTCTCTTGTCCCTACACTTTGTGTGGACCTTGACAGAGCAATGCTCTGTCAGTGAGCAATGTTGTTGCCCAAATCTCCAGCAGGAAGCTTCTCTTTATTGTTAATACAGCTCACTTCACAGGCTATGTATATGTAAGTTCAATACATGGTTTTGGGTAGTTCATTGGATAGCTCAGTTAACTGTTAACTCACTTAGTTAACTTAGTTAACTCACTCAAGCTCCTGTCCTACTCAATCCATACCCCTCCTCACCTGTAACTTGGGCTAAGTCCCAACATGACCTGCTCCTAAACATATCTTAATTACAAAAGTCTCATGTCTCCATTCTGTGTCTCCCAAGGCCACCGTGAAGATGCATATGCATTCCTCCAATGCATCTCGTCAGAGAAGTATGTGAGTTGAATTTTCCATTCTAAACACTTTCTGTGTCTTCAGGGAGAAATGAGACAACTCTCTAAGGAGAGAGCAGAGAGTAGAAATCACTATGATGTTTGAAAGAGATTTTGTAAGAAGTAGTCCCTAGTTCCTGATGATCACTAAATAATGCTGACTTCTCAGGACTGAACTGCATTATACTAACATAACTTTTAATAATTTGGGTTTTAGAAAAATAATGTGGATATATAAAAACATCAGTTAAGCTATATTAGCAATCTGATATAAATATTGATGTGGATATGAATGTAAATATATAAATAGATGCTTATTACTGGTAGATAGATGACAGATACATACATACACAGAAGCACGAATGCTCCATCATTTTCACTCCTGCATTGCAAAGAGGTGCCCTTCCCCCCTCAGTCTTGCCCATCCCTTCTTTGAGCCCCTCTTGGAAGCCTGTGTAGATCAGCTCTTGAGCTCCTGCTAGCTGCAAATGTAAGAATAGCTAAACTTAGAAATATCAGAAAGTTCTTGGCTGGAAGGAAAGCCAAGATAATACAAGGTCTGTAGAATGAGTTCTATGGTCAATAAAAAGAAAAACTGGAGAAAAGACATGAGAGATACTGGAGAAGAGGGTGTATGTGTGTGTGTGTGTGTGTGTGTGTGTGTGTGTGTGTGTGTCTAAGAAGGGAGAGATAGAGGCTTGTAAGAAGAAGATATTCAGTTTCCTTGCTTATTAAGAATATTTCTCAAAAAGTGCATGAAAATTTTGTTTTCTCTGTTATTTTTCTATGCTGAGCGGCCTTTCTTAAACCAGGCACTGTGTTGAGATAAGGACATTGAAAGAGCTCCACATTTTCCTTGTATTTTTGATGTTTAATTGCTAAATTTCCCTTAAAGTTTCAAAGAAAAAGTTATATGAACAAAAATACTTATCTAAACATTGATGAAAACCACAGAAATTGGAGACATTCAAATTGCCGCTGTCTTAGTCAGGTTTCCATTGCTCAAATAAGACACCAGACAAGCACAACTTAAAGGCGGGAGGTTTCATTTTGGCCCATCATTTCAGAGGTTTCAGTTCACAGTCAGCTGAGATTCCAAGGCAGAATCATTATGTTGGAAGGGCATGGCAGAGAAAAGGTACTCACCTCGTGGCATCTGGAAAGTAGAGAGCAGGGCAAGAATCCAGAACAACCTAAGAACCAGATATAGTGACCAAGATCATGCCTCCAATTAGCTACTCAAACACATCAAAAAGCATGCTTTACTAATCTAGACATCCCTTGAGCCAGTCGGACTGACCATAAGGATTAACTATCAGATCTACCAAATAGGTAGACGATGGTTTTCAATTTGCTAGAGACTCAAGAGTAGTAACCACAAAGCTTAGCTTTTACTGAACTGCTATTACATGCCATTTTCTTCATCTCTTTTCATGTAACAACACAGCTAGTTTTCAAATAAGCTTACGAAGTAGACGTTACTGCCCTTTTATAGATGGGGCTCCTGAAGCACAAACAAACAAAGCCCAATGATAGAGATCACAAACGAAAGAGTTAATGAACTGTCATTCCAAATCCTGATAAAAATACTGATTTATATTGGAAATCAGTATTTTTACCAGGATACCATGGTGCTCTTGAGATTGTACATGATAAATGCTAGGCAGTGAATGCACAACAGTCCCTTATGAAAAGTTCTATGAATATGCAGAAGAAAAGTTCCATAAGATGTTCTCACCACAAATGTCCACAAGCAAGCGCTAGAAAGGGGTGTATGGGGTGATGCAGGCATGGCTGAGCCACATGATTTTCATGATATTTTAATATTATTCGAAGCACAAAGCCAGGATAAACAAACAAATGCTAACTTAAAGCCTATTTCAGTTATTTACATTTCCCCCTTATGCTTAATTTTATATATTGATGTGAGCAGGCTTTTCCTTGCTACTTTTCTCTCTTTTATAAATTTGTCACATACATTCCTCTCTGATAGGACTTTTAAAGATGGTAATTAAATCCACATATAAACATATGGTTATGTCTAGTTACACAATTAATGTTAATATATGGCATGTAATCACCATCTAATTTGAATTATATAGCATGTGGTGACATAATTATAACATGTAATGATGGAAAGACTTTTATTTAGACTGAATGAAATGACTACAATTTGAATTGGATGATTCCTAAATTACAATTTCCTACTTGCTTTAAGAGTCCCTCAGGGAAAAGGACAGGCTGAGCCAAACCTGTTATTATGGGGGGAAAAAAAGATAGAAAACAATTTAAGTATGAAAGAAAACAAGGTGAGGTGAGATGTGATATTTCTTGTTTTTATCAGAAAGAAATGAGTGAGCCTAGCCAAAGGTTATTTTTAGGCTACTTGTTAAATAAAAGTGCTTTCAAGCCA